CCCCCTTCTGGTTCCCTTCCTCTCACCACCTCAACCATTCCTTGCTCTTGAACCACTGTTGGAGCCTCTCATGCCTTTACTCCCTCTTTTCCCTTTTCTCTTCTTTTAAGTAACTGCCATGCAGATCTCTATGCTTCTGAACCACTGCTGAGGCCACTTCTGACCGCGTAGGAGCACTCACTTCCCCCATTGCCTGTTTCCCTCAACGCAATACACATTCGAAATTTTCCACTTTAATCCCTCTTCTTTCTTCCTTCACAGACTGTCATTCACGCCTTTAGGCTTCTGAAGCACTGTTGAGCCTCTTTAGATTATCTGCCTACACTCATTTCACCTGCTCTCATCTCTTGCCTCGATTCTTCCCGTTTGAGAAGAGGAAGAGAAAGATCAATCAAGATTATCTGTTTGCTTTCTCTACCCTATCCTTATTCCTTTCTGTGTTTGCTTACTTCCGTGCAATAACCACAGGCTCTCTCAACATTCCAAAATTTGCTATCCTCTAACTCTAAGCAAGATTCTCTGTCATTTTGAGGAAAGGACCCGTTGCTCATAGCAAAGCAGTCGAGGTTCAGAATGGAAGTTCAATCTCAGAGTCCTCAGGGAATTGAGACCGAATTGACTGCACAACCCGGGTCTTCCGATCAGAATGTGGCAATCGAACAACCAGTTATTCTCACTTTCGAGGAGATCAATGATTTTGACCCATTCGTGACTGAGAGTGCTCCGCCTCAGGTAAGTTCTCTGCATAACATCCCAGGCGTTGATCAAGATGTTAATTCATTATTAGGCGATCGGTACTCAACCTGGTCGCCGAAGGTCGCAAGAGGAGGAAGACCTGCAGAAGCTCATCCCCCTCGCTCCCCGAAGCTCTTATTATTCCAAAAAGTTTTTTGGAACCGGTTGGAAGAACGCCCAGTTTGCCGTGTCTTCCTCCTCGGGGCCTGTTCGGCTCCCGCAGGATTGGAATTACAAGGACACTGGCGTGACAGTTAGAGCCAAGGTGATGGGGGAGCCTGTCTATCGCAGACTCATCCTCGAAATCACCTACAGAAAGTCAGACGATCCTTCCAAGACTGCCGTCGCCTACCTGCAGTTCGATAACCATTTGCACGTCACTGACTACGAGGTGCAAGACAAAGTGCATCGAAACAGAAAGGGCAGAAATACCAAGCAGCACAAGAAGAACCAGCCAGTGGACACGTCAGAGAATGAATCAAATGAGCAGAAGGAAGACAGCTACTGGGTTGTAAAATTTGTTGCGAAAGGTTGTACGGCTTTTGGAATGGATATCGACGACACTGGCTTCGATAACGCTTCGGCCAATGTCTTCCGGTATCTTCGCAGACTCACCAGCAAACTGAAGACCGGAGAAAAGACCCAAGTCATGATCCGAATTAACGCACATTTTGGAATCGACGAGACGGATGGGACTGATGAAAAGAAGAAGAAGGCAGCTGCTCGCAAGGAACGTTTTAGGATGGCTCAGGACCTCATATTCGATTTCAAGAAGTCGGCCTGCAGGGCTTGGTCCCCGTATTGTGGTCCAACCGGAAAGCCTCAGACTCACTGGGGCAATTTGGTCTCCCGGGAACAGATCAATAGGGCGGCCATTCAACCAGCATCAGCAGAGACTGAAACCAATGGCAAAGACCAGAATGGTTACGAAGATGCGAAACATGAGGTCCAGGAGAGCAGAATCATACGGTACCCTTCTCAGATATCGTTCGCCAGCCTTGAAGAAGCCGCAATTGTGTTCTCGTACGGTGCATTTCTGGAATGGAGGCGGGAGAAAGAGCTTCACGACAGCATCTCATCGATGGACCACAAAGTCGGGTTTTTGAACGTTGCTGGCCATGGTATTATGGCTATCATGTTTTACTCTATGCCTGATACCAAAATTGCCGAGTCCTTCCGAGTGAAAGAAGCATCAAACATCGTGATCAGCTTTACGCCTCCAGAGAGGAGGACGAACCGAAACGTGACTTGTCAGGGCATAGCCGTCCCCAATATATTCAGTCTCCCATACCGCAATCCGCTCTATTTGGTGAAGACAGAATTTTTAGAGTTTTTCCAGTCTCTCGCCACCAACCCAGGACAGCCCCTTAAGCTCCTGAATGCTAGGGTCATGTTCCGGATCCCTCACGTAGGGGCCGCGAGACAAGTCGATGCGATAAACTTGATCACCAACATGAAACCAGGGGCAGAATTCGCACAGCGGTGGCAGAAGATCCTCCTCAATCAGAGCCGCGGGCCTAGGGCAGTTGTGGATCCTCTGAAGGATATCGACCCGACGCACGAGAGATTCCAAAAGATATTGGAAGATGTCCTGAGCAAGTTAACCTTGTCTGAAGATCAAATCCGATGCCTCAAATCTTGCACTGCATTCCCAGATGGCGTCTTGATCATACAAGGGTTCCCCGGAGCGGGAAAGACCTTCTTGTTGGCGCTCATCGGTCTTGTCTTCCAAATGATGGGTTTTCATATCGTTTACGGGGCCCCAACGCACCAGGCTGCCGATGCAAATTGCGAAGCTCTTTTGAAGCTCATGGGGATTTTGAACATCCAATGTCGTCTCCTGAGAGCGTACCGAACACAAACGGAAGTACAAGAGTTCCTATCCAAAGCGAAGAAGGCTGATCGCGAGTCTGAGTCCGAGGGCAAGTCTGACACTGAGCATGGGGAGATCGCAGAACCTGAGGAGACAGGGGAAGCGGCTATGTCCATAGAGGCCCAGCTTCTTATGCTCCAGATCGCACAAGATATCGCTACAGCGGACCGTAACCGATGCTATGGCCTGCCGCAACTGTCTCTGGAATTCCAAGTACTTCGCGCGATTGAATCAGCTGAGAAAGAGGGCCGTACACTTCTTGGCCACTATCCATCCGAAGAACAGAAGGCTCTATCTCAGGGCTTGGTTGCTCTTGAAGATGTCTACGAATTGGAGGGACCTGAAGTTGACATGTTCGCCGAGCTTCGATCGCATCTGCAACACATGAGGGATGAACCACTGAGCGAATGGGGTTTAGAGGATAAAAATTGTGCGCTCATCGCTTTCAAGCACGTTCGCCAGTACGTTGCTAGAGCCAGCCAGATCCTCGTTTCCACTAACAACAACCTGGCCTCAAACGTGTGTTCCCAGCATTTTGGATTAGAGGCGAAAGCCGTGCTCCTCATCCGAGATGAGGACCCTAAGGAGCTCGAAGTCAATGGTTGGATCCCTCTCACAAGTGCAAATTTTCTCCTAAGATCGCTGCCATTGTGCTTGGTGGAGATACATGGCAACTCCAGCACACGGTTCTCACAGCGAAAGAACAACCGGGATGGAACGAGTTTAGTTATCAGATGGAGACGTCCCTTGTTGTTCGATTGATTCGCGCGAACCATCCCGTCTTGAACCTGACCGAGCAACGCCGTTTCCGGCCGAGTTTCGCGGAGTTTTTGAACAGACGTATCTACAAAAACGAAATGCGATCTCACCCTGTGACCGACTCCCTGAAGGTTAACCCTAAATGGGACAGAATGGTACGGGCCATTTTTCCAATCACTCGAGCAGATTTCGATACCGGCCATTTCGTTCTCAGTCTGGAGATATCTTCGTGTGTGCTTGAATCATCAAGTCTATCAAGGTACAGTGCTGCTCATGTCGAAGCTGTCTTGACCTTGATCCTGGCCAACCATATGTATGGATGTTATAAAGGCGAAGATATGAAGATTATAACGCCCTATTCAGCTCAACGCAACCTTTACCGAAGGGCGCTTTTCCAGATGAGATCTCAAATACTCGAGGAGAGTCAGCCTTCAGTTGAGACGATAGATTCCATGCAGGGAAGAGAAGCGAAGGTCGTCATACTTGATTTCACGGTGTCTGACGCGACTAAAGCCGGTGATCTTGGCTTTGTTGATGATGATCACCGTTGCAACGTCGCCCATTCAAGGATGATCGAAGTACTAGTTACCGTTATGCCTAAGCGGATTGCATCTAGCCCTCTGGGAACAAACATTGCACAACGACTCAATTCTTTTGGTAAAATTGTCAGGCCAAAAGTTCCTTACGTGGTCGAGTACATGCAGTGGGCTTCTCAGAGGGGGATGGTCGTGGAAGTCGATGAGGTTCGCGGTAAGCTGTTCTCCTTCGTAAACGGCTTGTGTTGGCTCTGTGGATTACTAACCTCTTGTTCTTTGTTAGACTCCGTTAAGCTTGCTTCCTAGAATCAGACGTCGGACACAATACTACGTTCGCTACAGTGGATGGACTCGAGACACAACAGGACGCCAATTCAGCTTGGACCAGAAGGAAATACTGCGCCGGATACAAGGAGTAGTATTTCTTCGCATGCCCATGCAGACACTTAATCTCAACAATGGAAAGTGGATTCTTATTGTGCACACGCAGAGCAACTCGAACACAACAGTGGCTAGTCAGTTTGATACCAGCACCTGAGCTAGGCATATCATAAGTAGTATAAGATCATCAGTGACCAAAAGGATAAATCCACAAGCAGAGTACTCCGTTCTGTGGCAGTGTAGCTACTCCAACGGAGGCGTCAACAGCCCTCCCTCCATCTCCATCTTAACATCACCATCAGCATGTACTTTCATATCCTCCCCGGCAAAGAACCAAACCACCATCTCCGCCGCAACCTCCGAGTCATCCTCCCCATCACCCGCCTCAATCGCCCTCAAATACCCTTCTACCACCTCCGCATCCCAACCCCCCCTCCTCCCAAACTCCAGACACGTCTCCCGGTTCACAAACACATCAAACTCAAAGTGCCCCTGGAGGGTCAACACCCGTCCGGGACGATACACTCCCTGCACGGGACACCGCGGCGTCGAGCCAACATTAACCCAGCCATCCGGCAGCCGCAGCCGCAGCCCTCGTTCCCCCTGCACGACAACCCAATCCCCATGGATAAGCTGCAGCCTCATCTCCTTCCCTTCTCCCCCAGCCGTTGCCCCAGCCGTTGCCCCAGCCTCCCCCAGCATCGGCGACGATAGCCCAAACCTCCCCAGAAACTCCCGCGAGAGCGCAATCGCACCAATCCCCATCTCATAACCCCCAGGACAAGCCTCGACCACACACCCCGGCACCAACGCCTGCGCGAGCACCTGGTGCCCGAAGCACGAGCCGAAGAGCTTGATGTGCGGGTAGTTCGCGTAGACGTCAGCCAGAAAGCTCTGCAGGGGGGGGATCCAGGGGTGGTGGTGTGGGCGGTAGACCGAGGCGGAGGAGCCGGTGAGGAGGATGGCGTCTATTTTGCGGATGCGGTCTGTTTCGCTGTCGCTGGGTTGCGAAGGGTGCGGCAGCAGCAGGTGCGAGGGGGGGAAGATCCCGCCGATGATGTCGTAGGAGGAGGTGCTGATCGTTATCTCTCTGCCTTTGTCGAGGGACTGGGAGAGGCGTGCGGCGGCGGAGGCGAGGAGGTGGGTGAATTGGGAGCTGTAGAGGCCGCGGGCGGCGTGGACGGTGGGCACGGGGATGTCGAGGTCGAGGATGGCGATGTGGAGGTGCATATTTCTTTCTTTCTTTCTTGCATTCTTGCTTGTGGTTGAGTGGACATTTTGTAGGAGGGGTTTGGTCCTGGTTGAAGAGGTGGTGGTGTTGATAGTCTCGTCGGATTCGGTTACCGGATTGGGAGGGGTTTTCCTGGTGTTTAACAGTAGAGTTGATCATGTTGATTGATTGATTGATTGATTGATTAGATTATGGATACGAGGGATGTATATATTGGAGATAGTGTTAGTTGGAAATACTCTATTGCTACCACTTTGAAAGTATGGAATGACTATTAACCAAAAGTAAAGGAAGAGTGTCATAATGAGGATCAGGAAATGTTAGAGCTTGTAAGTATACCACTACCCTGTTTAGCATTGACTTCACCATGTCATTTCATCAAAGCATTGGGCTTATAGTGTAGCTGCACTCTCAGAATCAAAGTGTGTCACCACCCCCCCATCGGATTGCGCCATTTATCCGCATCACCGCTCCCAATGGTTCTTTCACTTAAGATCGGAGCCACGAGCCTATAGAAAGAAAGATGGCCTGGCACGCCATCATCTCCGCTATTGACCAATCATTCATACTGTTGTACAACGGTTGGACGACAAGGGTATATATACCCCTCACACACGGCGAGATCACAGCAAGAGTAGACGTAGACAGAGTACAACGCAGACAGTAAAACAGGTGATATGGCCCTCACACAACTCCCCCCCTCCATCTTCCCCGACGGCCTCAAGACATCGGGCCAGCACCCCCCTCTCTACGAGTACATCCGGCCCTTCGAGCGCTTCCCCAAGGAAATCACAGGCCCTACCGTCTGGAGCGCAGCCGAGTACCGCGACCAGCCCGACAAATGGACGCGCCGCTTCACACCCGCGGAACTGGACGAGCTGAGTCGCACGGCGGACGAGTTCATCCAGAGCAAGATTCCCCTGACGGGGATTTCCAGGGTCGGCACGGCACGCCACTCTCCATAGTGATAGATGCTAACTACTCGTAGAAAAACTTCCCCCTCCCGAACCTGAGCAAGGACCTGCAGGCCCTCCGCGACGATCTGCTCAACGGCAAAGGCTTCATCCTCTTCAAGGGCCTCCCCGTCCAGCAGTGGGGCAACCACAAGTCCGCCGTCGTGTACATGGGCCTCGGCACGTACCTGGGCTACTTTGTCAGCCAGAACAGTCGCGGCCATGTCCTGGGCCACGTCAAGGATCTAGGCGAGGACCCCACCCAGATCGACAAGGTGCGCATCTACCGGACGAATGCGAGGTACGCCTCTCTTAGCCCCTGGAGAATAAAGGCCAAGCTGATGTGGTAGACAATTCTTCCACGCCGACGACTCGGATATCGTCGGGCTGCTGTGTATCGCGCGCGCGCTCGAAGGCGGCGAGTCGGACCTCGTCTCTTCGCACCATGTGTATAACATCCTCGCCAGGGAGCGGCCGGACGTGCTCAAGACGCTCACCGAGCCGATCTGGTATTTCGATCGGAAGGGCGAAACCTCCAAGGGACAGGATGAGTACATCCGCACCAGTGTGATGTATCTCGAGCGCGGCGACAACCCGCGCGTGTACACCAAGTACGTCCTCCCCTTTATCACTTATGTGGTGTTCTATATGAGATATGAATTGGATGATTGACACTGGTGACAGGTGGGATCCGTACTATGTTCGCTCGCTCGCCCGCTTCTCCGACGCGGGGATCATCCCCCCGCTGTCCGCGGCGCAGCTCGAAGCCCTCCAGGTGCTGGAGGACACTTGTCTCCGGAACGCGCTGCATATGGTTTTGGAGGTCGGCGACATCCAGTTCCTGGCCAACTCGCATGTGCTGCATGCTCGTACGGCGTACAAGGATCATGCGCCCCCCGCGCCCAGGCGACATCTGATGCGGCTGTGGTTGGCGACGCCTGAGGATGAGGGCGGCTGGAAGTTGCCGTTCTGGGATAGCAATGAGAAGAAGCGAGGGGGTATTCAGGTTGACGATCAGCCTCCGGTGGCGCCGTTGGATGCGGAGTAAGCCATATTCTTAGTCAGTATGATACCATTTAATGCATGCAATTGATCATTATTCGTTAGTCGTATCATGGACGAAGCTATTACTGGATTATCTTGTAGTTGCCCCCACTGATAATCTCCAACTTGCCCTTGGCTACCATGCCCGCAAGAAACTCGCGTAGCTCCTCGTTGCTGAATGGGAACCCCCCCGGCACCGCGATCTTCAGCATCATCACGATGCGTTGCAGCGGCATCGCGCCTTGATTGGTCAACATGCCGACAATGAACTGCCAGTACAGGTTCATCTTCTCCATCGCCGCCGCCTCGGCCGACTCCTTGGCTGCCGCCGCCGCTGCTGCATCGGCTGCTGCCGCGGCGTTGGCCGTCTCGGCGGATGCGTCACCCATGTCGTCCGTCGCTGATACGCCAGCGGCACCGACGCCTCCCTTGTCATCGTCATTGGGGAGGACCTCCAGTACGCGGAAGGTATTGCGCTGCACCTCGCTCAGGATACGTTTGCTGACCCAGAATAGGCATGCACTGCGCACGAGCGCCGCGGACATGCCCAGTTCCGCCGACAGCTCATCCACCGTTTTGGTTGCCGCTTCACCAGAGCCAAAGGCGTAAATCACGGTGGCCTGCCAAGTCGTCACCTCGTCCACAAACACTCGGTCCTCGAGATCCAGCTCGACGGTGACCTGTCCCATCCCGTTGAGCCAGGTGAGTTTGCGGGACTGTTTGAGCGATCCGAATCCTGTCGCATAGCGCTCCTGCAGCGCCGCAATTTCTGGGGGCACCTTGAATTCCTGCGCGGGAAATTCAGGCCAGAAGAAGTGCGACAGGATCTTCGCGTGCAGCTCGGGCTTTGTCTCCTCCTCCTGTTTGACTAGGCCTTGGTCGTTCCGTACCACGGCATCGACCCGGCGAGAGTCAAAGATATCCCGTAACATGACTTCGCATGCCTGCAGGGCACTGTCACCGAAGCGCACCTTGAGCAGCTCCAAGACGGACGTCTCCTGCTCGAACTCGGCGCGTTTCTGGAGCAGGCGGTCGGCGAGCATGTTCTGCATTTCCCGGACAAAAGTCTCCTTGGACTCGAAGAGACTGATCAGGCTGCCAATGACGTCGGAGGTCTTGGATTTCCTGTAGTCCGGCGCCGCGTCCACCGGGTCCGGCATCCAGTTCATATCATCCCAATCTAGCTCGCCAGAGTCGGCCCGCAGTGAGGTCTGATGTGCCTTGGCTAGCTCAGCAGACAGCTCCGCAAGCGTCTCTCCTGTAGACGGGAGGTCGGGCTCGTCCGTGTCAGCAGGATCCGCCAGAAGCCCACCCACAATGACCTTAACAGTGTCGTCGCGATCGCGGAGGTACCTGCGAATGGGTCGAGCAACCCGGTCGAGCAAAACACCCTTGGGATCTAGTAGGTTAAAAGCCCGGATGATTGAGATGTACACGCGTAGGATGTCAATCGTCGACGCTCCGGGATGCAACAACCGTTGATTAAGCACCTTGATGAACGCTTGCGTCAGACAGTACCTTGCGGCCGGATGTGTCGAAAAGTGTCGCAAGTCCTCAATCGCACCGCTGCTCGCAGGCCACTCGACAATGATATCGAACAGCTCCCGGGTTCGGAGCGACCCCAGGCGTGAGATTCCCATCTCCTGCCACTTTTCCACATCGGCTAGACTCACATCCAGACATCCAGAGGCGTCCGATTCAGTCTCGTCGTGGTTGATGATCGCCAGAACCTGCACAACCAGCCGAGCAAATACATTTTCAATCCACTGTCGCAGGTGCTGGGTGACCAACGACGGCCCCTCCCACTGATTGGCGTATGCAGATTCAACGAATGCCGTCAACATCATATCCATCACGCTGGCAAAAACCTTTTGGGCCTTGTCCCCCCCTAGACCAACGAGCTGCAAGCCCCTGAGTAGCGAAAGCAGGCGTTCGCGGGTAGCAATGACTCGCACGTCTTCGTACTCTGCCATCATCTGCATTCGGATCTCCGCGGACGGCTCTTCCCGCCAATCCTGGTAGGAGACAGAGTACTGCCGGTCGACTTCCATATTATCCACACTGACTGTATCATCAAAGTTTGCCTCCTCATCCAACGCGTCAATGCCTAGGATAATGAGCGCGTCCCTCGTGAGCTCTCGGAAGAGCAAGTCGGATACTCGTGACCAAGGCAGGGCATACCCCACCACCATTTGGAAGGTATACGCCATTGCACGAAGCTCCCGTGCTTGATCGGCATTGTTCAGGAGCGGTAGTAGGTACTCCACGAGGGGAGCAAAGTATAGCTGTCGTGCAAGTTCAAGGATTCGTACAATAGTCTGTAACTGCCCCTTGTCTTCTGACGGGTCCAACACCTGGTATGAATCAGAAGCAATCCATCATCACCATCAGGCCTCGCCCTTAACATACCTTTGTCAAAACCCCGTGAAAGTTGCGCAGAAAATGTACCCGCATCTCCAGGCGGTACCACTCGAGTATGCTCTGCTGCTCCGTCGCGAGACTTTCTCCCTTGGCCAAAGGTAAAACTAAATAGTCCAACGCATCTTTGACCTCCCTCGTGAAGCTCGTATGACCCCTCCACCGCTGCAGAAACTCCCCATAATCCTCCAAGCGCGTCAAATCCGCAAGCCCTTCGCTCGGTAATTGCAGAAACGCAGTCGCTACACGCCACGCACGATCCCAGGTCCCCTTGTCATATTGTTCCTGGTCATCGGTCCTCTCGGTAGACTGGGAATGGCTCGGACTTTTGGCGCTGGCTAAACGAGGCGCCGCCACGGTGGTGAAATACGTGGGCGGGAAGACGGAGCCGAAGACGCGCTTGCGGCTGACAGATATGGTAGACGGCATGGCAATGTGACGATGAGATTAATCTGGACGCATCGTGGGGGCTATAGTCGTGAATCACCGCCGTTGTACGGCGTACAGGGCTATATTTGTGGCTTCTCGTTCTCGCGGTAGGTCGTTCGTCTATCGCTATCGATGTTGTCGCGTGGGTGCCAAGGAATCGCGGTATCACGTGATTCATACACATAGAGAGCAGATTACGGCGGTCAAAAAGCTATGGTTAAAGAGCAATTGGAATGTACACGGGATGTATAAGGCTGTAATGACAAAATATGTATGCAAATATGCAAGTGTATCGCCACCGAATCGTTATCTATGGGTATCAACTTAGAGATCGAATGCATATCGCGGAGTAGATCAGAGACAGATGTATCACGGAGCTCAACTCAACTCCGACAGCGACGTTGCAGTATGCATGAAACCGCGAGGTGCAAGTCCAAATCAATCAAGGATCGACTAAGAAGCATTGCTGTCATCCACCTTCTCCCACTCACTATCCGTGCTATGGTATCCCGAGCTATCACCACTCACGCTGAGTCGCTTTCGCACCTGCGATTCAGCCGGGGGCTGGAGAGTAGCCGGAGCAGAGGACGCGGCAGCTACGGCCTTGCTCTTCTCTTTCACAACATTCTCAGTCTCAGTGTCACTGTCGCTGCTGTCCAGGGCCCCCGGTGGCTTCGTGCTACCGCCCCTCAGCTCCCTCCCCTCGCGTGTCTCCTTGTGCGCCTCCTGTGCCTGTACCTGACTCAACTCCCGAGCGAACCAGTTGATCGACCACCACAGAGCCGCGGAAAGGATGGAAAGCACGACGAAGTGAATGCTGTATGTGGCCAGGAGGAGAGCGAGCAGGAGGACCTGCAGGGCGGCGAAGGTGACATTGGTCGCGATCAGGAGCGACGGGGTGGGACCCGGGGTAAAGACGCTCGACCAGAGGTCCTCCACAAACGATCCCATGTTTTGATTAGACCAGGGCAACAGTCGGTTGATCAGGCTTCAAGCGGGTTCTTGCGGGGTTGATGGTAAAACTCGGTTTGTTGAACAGGGTCAAAGGAGCAATGACGTTGAGGATCGGAAACTGAAATCCGTCGAGTCCGCAGGGTTAGACAAGGTTACTGCATGGTGACATTAGTGATGCTCTATGCGATGCTGAAATACAGAGACACAGCAAAGGAGGATCACAAACCGGGATGACGACTTGTACAAAGCGAGAACTGAGTCAAGCTTGCAGTTGGAAATCCCAAGGATGAACAGTCGACGAAGACTTAGAAGTGGTGACCTGCACCTTCAGAAAGTCGGTGGATGACCGAGAATGACGGTCGGCGTTTGACTGGTGATGATCCAAGTGGGGAATAAACAAGACGACGACTGGAGTAAGCCCCAGGATTTGCAAGGAATCAAGGTGAGATTTATGTTGAATCAATGACTATCTACCCCGTGGGGATGCTTGAAATGGAGGGTTGGAGGAGATTGCGATATTCTGTAAAGAGGACTGTGTAGACAACAAACAGCGGACGAAGAGGGGCATCAGTTGCAACTGGCGCTAGCACTCTTTAAGCAGATTAGGTATCTAGAGGCTCAGCTTCAGGTATCTATCCATCATTAGATTAGACTCTAGAAGATACAATTACTCCATCGTCCATATACACCGCAAGGCTCCGGAGGATGTACCAGTAAGCTACAGTCCTTCATGACCACTGCGGGTGACAGCAACACGCAAGGAATCAGGCAGATCACGTTGGATCGATCGTAGCAACTGAGCACGGGAATCATCATCAGGTTCGTATAGCTATCCTCAAATGTCATCACGAGATTTGAGCAGTTTTTGCACCATTTCCGATCGGTTTTCGCCCTGAGCTTCCTCACAAAGATTTCCATGGGCGTAGTTATACGAGCCTAAGGCAGTGCCGTCGGGCCGACAGCCTCTACCCTAGTACCTAGTACCGTTGCATGAGTGCATGACATGGATGATAGAGTAATTATTGATGCGTCGGCTATCTCCTCTGGATCAATTTGTATTGCTCTCCGATACTGGTTAACTATTTCCCTGTTGTCATCATCGCTCATCTCGTGGTGATCAGCACGTGCCGTAAGCTGTCACAGGATTCTCCTTCAAGAGGACAGAGAGGAGACTCAATGTGCGCAGTATAGCAGTTCAGCTATCGATCTGACATGGAATTGGCAGATTTCTCTCATATTCTATAGCCAGACACCTCATTTCTAGTGAATTCGAGCATCTTACAGCCCTGTTCCATGAGCCCACACGCCTAAAACGCCCCATCCGTCTCCATTGCGAGCTCTAAACCGATCCGTAACCCACTCGACTATTTCCTATTCGGGTTAAGAGTCTCCTCTCACTTCCAATAGCCGTCTGCTGCAAACGGCCTCTCTGCTATTCGACACTCGACAGTCTCTCTTTGCGGATCTACATCCCCCTTGATCCCATATCGTCCAGTCATGGTTTACAGATTATTAGGGTTTATTTCTTCTGTGCTCTTCTGTGCTTCCCCCAGTCATGGCTCGGGGAGCATCCGACGACGACCGTCCTACCCGCTGTCTGCGAATCAGCGATCCTGCTCGGTCTTTGCATCTGTCCAAGGTCTCAATCATAATGGACGGCTCTTGCTTAGACCTATATAAATCATGCTTCGGCTTCTGTAGCTTTTTCCTATCCTATCCCATCTGAATAGCCACAAATCTTGTCCTCCGCCACAACCTTATTGACAACCCCCCGTCCCTCTTTCTTCCTCCACCTGCCAGGTATGGCAAACAAACATCCTCATCTCGCCAAGGAGGTCTCTCCAGATGGTCGTATAGGATTCAGCCATCATGCAGAGGACATCGTGAATGACAGAGAGCCCTATGGGCCTCCCGGTCTTCGTGGTCTAGTCTCTAACCCGTTTGTTTTTCTCTGTGCCGCCTGTTCGACGCTTGGTGGCCTGGTCTTTGGCTACGATCAAGGTGTGGTGTCTGTCATCCTGGTGATGGACCAATTCCTGGAACGGTTCCCGGAGGTATCTCCTAATGCATCCGGTGCCGGTTTCTGGAAAGGTCTCATGACGGCCATGATTGAGTTGGGGGCTCTCCTTGGTGCGCTCAACCAGGGATGGATCGCGGACAAGATCTCTCGACGGTACTCGATTGTTGTTGCCGTCATCATCTTCACTATTGGGTCTGTGCTGCAGACTGCCGCGGTCGACTACGCCATGTTGACCGTAGCTCGGTTTATTGGAGGGCTGGGGATTGGTATGCTATCGATGGTTGCTCCGTTGTACATCTCCGAGATCAGTAAGTGTTCTGGTTCATTCCCAGTCGGGACAGCGCTGACAGTCTAAAAGGCCCTCCGGAGTGCCGCGGTACTTTACTGGTGCTAGAAGAGTTTTGCATTGTCCTCGGGATCGTCATCGCATATTGGATCACATACGGCACCCGATTCATGGCTGGAGAATGGTCCTGGAGGCTTCCCTTCCTCCTGCAGATGATTCCAGGCTTTGTTCTCGCCGGTGGTGTCGTTGCCTTGCCCTTCTCTCCCAGATGGCTCGCGTCCAAGGGACGAAACGAAGAAGCCCTCCAGAGTCTCTCGAAGCTGCGTCGGCTGCCCCCATCAGACAAGCGGATCCGTCAGGAGTACCTCGACATTCAAGCCGAGGTACGCTTCCACCAGGAAATGAACGCAGAAAAGCATCCTACCCTCCAAGGAGGCGGCGTTCGGAAATCCTTCCTGCTGGAGATGGCCTCCTGGGCAGACTGCTTCAAGAAAGGATGCTGGCGACGCACTCACGTGGGTATGGGCCTCATGTTCTTCCAGCAGGTATGTACCAGACCCTTTCCTCTGTTCGATCCCCGCTTACATACTATAGTTTGTCGGCATCAACGCGCTCATCTACTACTCCCCCACCCTCTTCGAGACCATGGGCCTGGACTACGACATGCAGCTCCTCATGTCCGGTATCCTCAACGTAACCCAGCTCATCGGCGTCATGACCAGCGTCTGGACAATGGACAGTCTAGGCCGCCGCGTCCTCCTCCTCTGGGGCGCGCTCTTCATGACCATCTCCCACGTCATCATCGCCGTCCTCGTCGGCCTCTTCTCCAATAACTGGCCAGCCCACCGCCCCCAAGGCTGGGTCAGCGTCGCCTTCCTCCTCGTCTACATGCTCAGCTTCGGAGCCTCCTGGGGTCCCGTCCCCTGGGCTCTCCCTTCCGGTATGTTATGTCTCCCAGCGCATCCTAGACGAGAACTGACACCCAGCAGAGGTCTTCCCCTCCTCCCTCCGCGCCAAGGGCGTCGCCCTCTCCACCTGCTCAAACTGGCTGAACAACTTCATCATCGTAAGCTCCTGCCCCCCAGCCCACCTCACAACCAAGCTAATGACCGTAGGGCCTCATCACCCCGCCTCTGGTCGAAAACACCGGCTACGGCGCGTACGTCTTCTTCGCCGTCTTCTGTCTCCTCGCGCTCGTCTGGACGTTCTTCTTCATCCCGGAGACCAAGGGCCGCACGCTCGAGCAGATGGACCACGTCTTCAAGGACAATTCCAGCGAAGCCGAGAAAGCGCGGCGCCACGCTATCGAGGCGGAGCTGTTGCGGGCCGAGTATGAGTATCAGAATGCCGATGCTGGGGCTTGATTTCAGCTAAAGGGGGTGGAAGGCGAGGTATTTGAGGATGGAAAAGTCCACGGGTGGACTTGACTCTTTTCTTCTCGATTGTACATCACCTGAACAAATAGCTAGCCTATAACGATGATTATGCTTACTCTCGGCTGTCCTTGTTCAAAAACAATCGTTCAGGCTTGGAACACCAATGCGTGACCGACTTGATAGGCTTTCAACTCAATAATCCATCTACATCGTCAAATAAATCGACAGAATCCTCGCCAAATATTCCCTCACAGCTGCATCCCCCCAAACGACCTCTCCAAATCATCCGCCCGAGTCACCCCCTCCGCAACCCGATGCTCCCTCCCCCCAAC